AAGAGAGTCCGCTCGTCACTGAGTACAGCTTCTGCTCGTAGTAGGTGGAACCTTTTGGGGCCAAGTGATTTTGTCAAGTAAGCTTTTAGTGTTCACTTTCGATCATGTTGCTGGCAGGGTTGGGTGGCTGGGTTTTTTGTTTTGTTTTGTTTTTCCTTCAATGCACCATCCTTTTCGTTAATTCCCCAGAAAACGAAATGTAATTTGAGACCTCCATTTTACAGAATGGAGGTCAAAGTATGATGTTTTCCAAACACAGGCTTGTTTTTTTCCTTGTCTTCTCACCATTAGGAATGGAGGATGTTTGGGTCCATACCGATGCAGGCGTGTCAGCAGAAGGACGTGTTTGCCAATTACCTGACTTCTAACTTCCAAGCGGTAAATAGCTTCTCAGGGTGAGGTTGATAAAAATTGATTGCCTTCTGTTGGTGGACTTTTGTAACTCATCAGCGTCTTCTTGCTCTTTGGCTTTGCTTCGAAAGCACTCTGTGCCTTCTGATGCATCCAAAGGAAAAGGGCGGCTACATTCACCATTTACCTACGCTTTGCTCCACATTGGTTTTCTGCGGGGTGGAAGGGAAGGACTGGAGTCTCCTTCTTCTGCCCCATTAACTTGTGCTTGGCTTGGCCCCTCCATCAGCCGAGCATGAGGTCTGGCAGCAAGAGGTCTTCATCCCAGTCCAGCCCAAGCAGTCCAAAGAAGCAGAGGAAGGAGAGCAGCTCAGCAGCCTCCCCCGCGGACATGGAGCTCGACTCAGGTGGGTCTCCTCCTGTGGTCTCAATCTCACTGAGAAGGTAGAGGGATTGTGCACGCTCCTGAGTTCCAGGAGGAAGGCTGGGCCGGTTTGAGCACTAATGAAATGCTTTGATTCTGTCCTTGGAGATGAGAGTGACACCCCCTTGTACTGATAAAAGGTAAGGTGGGAGACAGCTTGGTGTGAGGGCCATGCCGGCCGGTTAACTGAGTTCCTGAGTCAGGCGATCCTTGCCGCCCAGTCCCAGTGGTCCTGATCCGGACCAGGCCCTCGGATGGGGGCAGGGCCCTGGGACAGGCAGTGGAGAGTGTCCCGCTTCGACAGCTCTATCCCAAGAGGAGGAAGGGCAGAGCTGAGCCAGGCTTTCCCAGGGAAGGACCATGAGGAAAATCTGCCCTCCTGGAAATGCACAGTGGAACAAAGGACTTGCCCTCTGATACTCCTCTGGCTTTTTATTCTCTTAATCCTCTGGGCTTAACCATGGAAGTGGTGGCCATGCAGGACTGTGACAGCCCTTCTCAGCATGTCAGCCAGCAGTGGGTCAGGACAGTCATGCATGCACCTTTCCGAGTTCCCCCCCCCCCCCGAACTGTCCACACTTCCTTTGGGCTTCCCCTTGGGACTGCTGGGGTGTAGTTTAGATGTTGCCCCCAGAAAGCTCTGGAATGAATCAGAACTTTATGTTAACTTGATAAATTCCAAAGCTGCTCTGAGTCCCAGACTGAAAACTCATTCCTTGCTCTACCTCCCATCCTAAAATATGCCCAGCCACTTTGGTCCTTATAGCTGGCACATGTTTTGAAGTGAGATTAAATGGCAACATTAAGATACAATGAATGTTGGGGCACCTGGGTGGCTCAGTCTGTTAAGTGTCCGACTCCTGGTTTTGGCTCAGGGCATGACCTCACAGTTCATGTGCAGGAGACCCGCATTGGGCTCTGTGCTGAATTTTCTCTCTCTTTCTTTCTCTGCCCCTCCTGCACACATGCTCGCTCGCTCTCTCCCTCTCTCAGAATAAATAAACTTTAAAAAAAAAGGAAAAAGAAGATAAAATGAATGTAGATACCTTAATAAGATGCTATCTATTAATGTAAATTGCCCTGATTTGATTGTGAGGGATTCACCTGTCTTATTTTCAAATTCCCAGAGAAAATTTAAAGGTCACAGATTAAATCCCCTTAAAATCCAAAATCAAAGCCCCCCAAGCCATTTTCCCCAATTTTTTACTTTGCTTAGTCTCAGCCATAGGAGTTCTTTTTTTTTTTAATTTTTTTTTTTTAACGTTTTATTTATTTTTGAGACAGGGAGAGACAGAGCATGAACAGGGAGGGTCAGAGAGAGGGAGACACAGAACCGAAACAGGCTCCAGGCTCTGAGCTGTCAGCACAGAGCCTGACGCGGGGCTTGAACTCACAGACCACGAGATCATGACCTGAGCCGAAGTTGGCCGCTTAACCGACTGAGCCACCCAGGCACCCCTCAGCCATAGGAGTTCTTGATGCCAGAGTTCACACGCCAGGCTTTTAGTTAGTACCTACAGCCTGACATCAGTGTCCATTCTCACTTTTTTATTTTGCCCGAAGCAGTGCTCAAATACGAATCATGCGATCATGACCTGAGCTGAAATCTAGGAGTCGGATGCTTAACTGATTGAGCCACCCAGGCTCCCCCCACCCTTTTTTTAAGTATATTTTTTGAATTTGCCTAATTTTTAAAACCTGTGCTGTTTTGGATACCTCTACTAGACCCTGAGGATAGGAAGATTCACGAGACACAACTGCCGCCCTTAGTTTCCACTCTGCGTGGAAACTGCGCCACCTAGGGCGTGCAGAGGTATAAACCCCATTTTGATATAAATGTGGTGACCTGTGGTGATCCATACAGAGCCCCAGAGCTGGTTACACGTATTTTAGTGTCAGAGGGGACAAACCAAGCAGCTGTGCTGGATGAGGTCGTAGACCCCGATCAAGAAGGACTTTGAGCTGCGTCCGGAGGGATAAATTCAGGGATTTACCATGGAGATGAGCAGGGTTAGGACATTTGAGTCCGTGGGAAATGCAGATGCAGACGCGTGAGACATCACGGCACACTGGTCCAAAAGCAGAGTGACACCTGGGGTTTCAGCCTGGCAGAAGAAATAACGTGGTGCAAGGAGGCAAATTCGTGGTCATAGAGGGCCTTGTGAGGCACAGAGGAGATCAGATCAGCCTTTGTCCTGATGGAAAGCACTGAAGGTTTCTAATGAGGTGGGAAGGTTAATGGGCCCAGACTCATGCTTCACAAAGATAGTAGTTTGGAGAATGGATATAAGGAAGAGGAGTCCAAAGCACAGGCGATGCCAGGCTTCCTGAAATAATGTCTTGGCTGCGACGGTCTGCCAGAGAGAGTAGGCCCCAGGGAGCCGAGGACTGGGGGCGGGGTGCAGAGGGAGACGAGGGCCTCTCTGGCGATTAGCAGGTTCCGTGTGGGAGAGTTCAGCCAGATACCACTGGTGGCACCATAGTGGGAACAGCATGAAGGAGCGGAGTCCGGATTCGAGGAAAAGGTCGGATCTGTTACGTCTGGGACATATAGGTGGTGATGACCATTGACCCGTGAGCTACACGAACCCGCAGTTGAGGCAGGCAGGCAGGACCAGAGGTGCAGAACTGGGGAATAAGCCAGAGTGTACCCCACCCCGTCTCCTCAGTTTTGTCTCCTTCAGCAGCCCCGCCAGCAGCGTTTCCAGCCGTTGTCCCACCACACTTTCCCAGGAACCCCGTTCTGCAGCTCCCACAGACAGCCTGGGGACCGCTCGCGCCTCCGGCCGGCCTCCGTGCCCACTCTCTGTTCCCTCACTCTGAAACGCTGCATGGGGCCAACGGGTGGATTTCCCGCTTCCTTCAAGCTCCTGGTGCCGGAAGAGCCTGAGGCGCTCCCTGCGGGCGTTCTTTCCAGGTGCTGGTGGTTATGGAGCCTCCAGGGCGTCCCCTCTCCAGCCGGTGATCTCTGGCCATTGACTCTCCGGGCACACCTGAGTGCAGACACCGACCGCTGTGACAGCTGGAAGTATCACAACTTTTTTCTTTCAGATGCGGAGGTCCCTCACGGCTCTCCCAGCGGGGAAGCTTTCCGGTTTCAGCCACCGCTGCCCCCTGGCACTCCCCCTCCTCTGCCCCAGGGGACTCCGCCGCCCATCTTCACCCCTCCGCTCCCCAAGGGCACCCCGCCGCCGACTCCCAGCGACTCACCCCAGACCAGGACAGCGTCGGCAGCCATGGATGAGGACTCACTGACTCTGGAAGAACTTGAAGAGCAGCAGAGGCGGATATGGGCGGCCCTCGAGCAGGCCGAGAGTGTGAACAGTGATTCCGATATTCCCGTGGACACACCTTTAACTGGGAATTCGGTTGCCTCTTCGCCTTGTCCAAATGAGCTAGACCTCCCTGTCCCAGAGGGAAAACCCTCTGAAAAGCAGATGCCTGATGAGCCCGAGGTACCAGACACTTGTACAAAAAAGTCGGAAGTTGAACATTTTCTGAGCCCAGACTCTGAGCCGACATTGCTTTGCCAGAAGGAAAAGGAAGAGTCTACTCCGATGGACTCTAAAGATGATGCCCTTCTTGATAATGGCAACGTTGTGTCGAACTGTGACATTAGTAATGGAGGCAGTCAGAAGCTCCTTCGTGTGGACTCCAGTCCTTCAGCAGCCACTAAAGTTCATAGTCCTGTACCTGACATGAGCAAGTTTGCAACTGGAATAACGCCATTTGAATTTGAGAACATGGCAGAATCCACTGGAATGTACCTCAGGATAAGAAACTTGTTAAAGAACTCGCCCCGAAACCAGCAGAAAAACAAAAAGGCTTCTGAATAACTCCTTGACATAGTGCCACGAGCTATTTAATTATCTATAACTTTGTGTTCTGTTCATTAGTACCAAATGGAGATGAGATTGTTTTCCTATTTGTCCCTCCCATGTTTAAAAATCTATCCAAGGCTTAATTGTGGCCTTAAGTCAGGCCTATTTTAAAGAACAGAAAGACCGGGCTTGCTGGTTTACTATATTTTATTCTTAATGCTAAAAACTTGTGGGGACGGGATGTAAGTCCGAGCTGGTTTAGAGATAGTTCGTTAAGGTTTATACTACTTTTGGGTCGTGAGTGTCTGTCAGGAGTGATGGTTTTTATCTGTCTTTTGTACGTTGATTTCCCTTTCTACATTTTGCTAATTATCCTGTATATAAGTTTAATATATCACTTTTTAAAAAGAAAAAAATTCTAACCATTTTAAATGCATATTTCAACTCTGACAACCAAATGAGAAAAATCAGGGATGAGCAGCTTTATCCCATTTGGGGTATTTTTGTAAGTGATTTACACACATCAATTTTAATAACACTTTTACTTTTTTTGTAACTTCATTCTTCATATAAGTTTGCTATACAGGTGCGTTCATCTTTGTGTACAAAGGTTTAATAAATTAGCTTTCATATACATAATCTAAGACTTTGAATACAAAAAAAGTGATTCACAGTTAGTGTACCCAACGTTGTAAGTTTGGAAGTAAATTATGTGGTTGCAAAAATTAGTGGTAGCAAAGAAAATCTAGGAAAATGCAAGTTTGAGTGTTTTCAGTGTTATTTCAGCCTTAACTATAGAGACAGCAAAATCTTTTAAAGTACTTATTTTGAAAAAAAAAAAAAATGAGGGCAGCTAGCCTTTGTACAAAAATAACTTTCTAAATTTGAACCTTAAGATAATTAATGCTTAAAAATAAAAAATAGACATAAACAAATTGCTTTTAATTGTCAGATATATAACATGGAGATGAATTATGTTTTTTTTGTATTTAAATGGAATGCCATCACATTGTAACAGTCGCATCCCTGAAAATAAACATACAGCTGATCTTGAACTTTTAGTCTCAGGTAGTGTGATCTTGCTCTGAGGCCAGCAGAGGGAGCCAACTACAGCCATTCTGGACCATTCCAGATTTCCTTTTCATTTTGAGGACTTGAATAACCAAATTTACTCTTCTATAAAGAATAAAGGGAAAGACAATCGTATGAAAAGGACAGTTTATTTTCAAGACCCTCACAGAACATGCTAGAAATTGAGTAAAACGTTAAGTCCTTTTTGGCTTCTTTCTCTGTGTTGAAATACGTAAGAAAGTTTACATAGTGCTTTTATATACGTTATCTTACTCTCTTTCTGTCAAGTAAATGTATTATCACCACTTAAGTATGTAGGAGGAAACCGGTGGCCTTGAGGGTTACAAGGACTTGTCAGCATAGAAGTGGTCTTCAGCCAAGGACCCGAGTCTTCCCTGAATCCTAGAAGTAGCTAAGTGCCCCCGTAAGTACCACACCGGAACACCAGAGATGCCTAGCCGTTCTCTCCTTAGCAGGAGCCACAGATCTCATGTTACGGTGTTTTGGTGGTGGTACCCCATTTTCCCAATCCCCATATTAGGTAGGTGTGATTAACTTGACATTTTAGAGGAAATGCCTACGACCCACAGCTGTAGGTCACCTAGGTGCTCTGACCCTCGAGTCCACGCTTTAACCATGTGCTGCCTCCTTATCAAAAGCTCTGTAAAAGCCCTGGTTTCTCCACAATTGGCTTCTACCTTTTCTACTCGGTCAGTTACTTATTGAGGACACAACTTACGTTGCGCTATGTACTTTGGGGCATTCAAATGAGAAAATGATAGAATCTGCCTCAGCCTGCACACGCAGAAGCTGGAGGCTCTTACACCCGAGACTCACTACGTGGCCGCCTGAAGAGGACAAGGTACTAGGACCATTTGGGGAAGCAGGAGAAGCACCGAGGGAGGACTGGCTTCCATACACGGGGCTGTGGGTTTAAGTGTCCATTTGAAAGGTACTGACAGCCTTCTGGAAAGAGAAGAAACTTTGAGCTAAGCCTTAAAGGGGAGGTAGAAGGATTTCCATAGACCAAATGAGCATTGAATGTACAGGAAACAGCACGAGTAACGTAAGTAGGAACCCTCAAGAAATGTAGGATGGTAGAAAAGACTTTCGAAAGGGTTGTTGACTCACTGATGCGGAGAACTGATTGCTTTGCCGTGGACTCTGAGTTTTACAAGGGAGAAGGATCTGCGTGAAGATCTTTTGGTGAGGAGTGACCTCATCCAAGTGTATTTTAGGAAGATGAATCCTAAGGCAGAATTGAGAATGAATCGGAGAGAAGAGACATTTTACGGGAGGAAGCCTCCCCAGAACGAGAAGTAGTCGCCTTAGGAAGGTGCCCTATTTTTCAAGTGTGTGTTTGAGTATTATGGAGAGCGATGGGTGGAACAGTAAGTTGTGCGGACTTGTCTGCACAGTGACAGATCACCAGGTGTGGGGAGGTGAGGTCATAAGCAAACACTTGTACTTCAGGATGGACTTGGAACAGGGCTGGGGACCGGTTTCTAATCTTTGCCTTGGGTTAAAAGGAATGTGGATTGTAACACAGGTTGCTAAGACAAGACCAGCTGTCATCTCCTTGGGCAGGTAAGTGGGAAAAGGGCACTGCCCTTAGTAAAACACCAAATAACCAATTTCTTCTTTTGAAAGGTTGCATTTCCTTAAGTGGTCAAAAATAGCCTGCTTTCCACTAACAGCGGGATCCTCCTAATTGGTTCTATTCTTCAAGTTCTCTGCTGGAACCATTTGGCCTTTCTGTCTCATACTTTGTAGGTTGTCATTATCAGGCAAAGCCAACAAGGGTGTTGTAACAATTTTGAATACCCAAATGGCTTCTTGTAAGGCATGACTCAGTTTCCCAGAAGCCAATGTGTCTACATAACCTGTGTCTTTCTTCAGCAGTTAGGAAAGTCCTTTTTTTCTTCAGCCTAATGTATCCATTGATTTAATGGTCTAAATTCACTTTAGAATGCTCAGGATGAAATTGTTTTGTTGATGTGTTTATAAGTGTTCCCACTGACAGAGCCATTTCTATAGTCTTAATAAATGGGAAGTCTCTGAACAGACATGTTTTGTAAATTACCAGCAATCTGGGTACGATGTTTATATTGGACTATTAGAGTGGAAAGAAAATGTGACAGCTGTTTAAAAAAGGGGGGAACTATTTATATTTATTTAGGCTCCTAAAGAAATAACTACATTTTGGGGAGAGGGTAGGAGTGGAGGGAGAGTGTAAACTTAAGACTAAGCCGAAAGACCTATTTATATAGTTGCAGAGTGTGTGTTTGTCATTCATATTTAGGTTTTGAATTCGTGAATTTTATAATTTAGAAAACAGTCCCTCTGTAAAATTCACATCCCATAACCGCCTACTAGCCGATGTTAAATGTCTATGCATTAGATTTGCCTTCTAGCACATTTTTAGAAGTTTTTTTTTTAATGTTTGTTTATTTTTGAGAGAGACAGAGGGTGAGTAGGGGAAGGGCAGAGACAGACGGAGACACAGAATCCAAAACAGGCTCCAGGCTCCGAGCTGTCAGCACAGAGCCCGACGTGGGGCTTGAACTCACAAACCGTGAGATCATGACCTGAGCCGAAGTCGGACGCTTAACCGACCGAGCCACCCAGGTGCCCCATAACTTGTAGTACATTTTCATTTGCAACTGTACCCCTTCATAATTACTTTTCTTTAAAATCTTTACTTTTTGAATTGTAAGCAGAAGTAACAAAGCCATCAATTTGAAGGGAAACCTCCCGTAAAGAATGCCCACACCATTTTTCCTCATACAGTATAGAATTTTTTTAACCCAATTTTCTAAACCCCAAACTGTTTTTCTTTACCAAAATGGAAATTCTTGATTTTTTCTGATTATAATACATATTTGTTTTAGAAATCCAAACAAAACAATATAAAGTCCTTCATGATCACAACATTGAGAGAAAAAAATCATTGTTCAGGATTTGGTATACCTTTTCCTGAGCAAATATATGTTAACTAAGAATTTTTTAAAATGTGTTATAGGTGTGTCTTGAGTGGCTCAGTTGGTTGAGCGTCTGCTCTTGGTTTTGGCTCAGGTCATGATCCTAGAGTCGTGGGATGGAGGCTGGTGTCGAGCTCTGTGCTGTGCGTGGAGCCTGCTTGGGATTCCTTCTCTCTCACCCTCTGCCCCTCTACCCTGCTCACACTTTCTCTGTCTCTCTCTGAAAAAAAAAAAAAATTAATTAAAAAAATAATAAAATGTTTTATAAGTGTGTTTCAGTAAAAGTGAGATTATACTATACCTGTCAGTGTTTGAAATCTAGTTATCGGGAGTTTTAAGTTTTTGTGTGTGTGTGTGTGTTTTTTTTTTTTAATAATCTCCACACCCAATGTGGGGCTCAGACTTTAAGATCAAGAGGTCCATACTCCACTGACTGAGCCAGCCAATCTCCCCTCTAATTCTTCTTCTTCTTCTTTTTTAATGTATTTATTTATGGGGCGCCTGAGTTGCTCAGTCAGTTAAGCATCTGACTCTTGGTTTGGCTCAGGTCATGATCTCATGGTTTGTGAGTTCAAGCCCTGCACAGGGCTGTGCACTGCTGGTGCAGAGCCGGCTCGGGATTCTCCCTCTCTCTTTCCCTCTCTGCCTCTTCCCCACTCTCTCAAAATAAATAATAAAATGTTTTTAAAAATGTATTTATTTTTTAAATGTTTATTTTTGAGAGAGAGAGAGAGAGAGACGCATGCGCACCATGAGCAGGGGAGGGGCAGAGAGAGAGAGAGAGAGAGAGAGAGAGAGAGAGAGAGAATCCCAAGCAGGCTCCGTGTTGGCACGGAGCCCGACGTGGGGCTCGACCTCACAAACTGTGAGATCATGACCTGAGCCCAAATGAAGATTTGGACACTTAACCAACTGAGCCACCCAGGCGCCCCACCCCCCTCTAGTTTATTCTTAATGGCTACA